CAAATCAACGTTATCGAGACTATGACCGCACTCTCACCAAGTCAATTGAGGCGACACGAAAAAAAGCGGGGCAGGAAAGGCATTGCCTTTCTCGAACAACAAGCGCACCAATCAATCCCCGCTAGTTGTTGGTAATGAATATGGTTCGAATTTAGGATTAATGCATCGAGCAAACATACCTCCGGATGTCGATTTGGATCACCTTGGTGAATTTCTTGATGAGACCGGGTCTCGACCTTTACCAGATGTTTGGTGATGGAAACATTGAGAGTGCAAGCGAGGTTGATATTTGGAAGAAAAAATTTGTACTAGGCCGAGTCTATACAACCCTCAAGCCTTATCTCGATCTGGGATGCAAATGTACACCTTTAAACAAGTGGTACATGCAAAGCGTCTACCAATGGAGACTTCTGCGTTGGTGTCAGAATTAGAGACGAACATTGGTTCCGTGGCGATGATGTTATGTATGTTGACTTTGCAGAATTTCATCAACTATGCCACCTGACCTCTCTGGACAAAGTTATCATTATCTGCTATTGCCTATAAGTAATAATTCTTTCGATCTATTATTAAACTCATCATATGTGTGTATATGCATATAAATTATCCTAACAAGTACTATATATATGCAGATTTACAATGACAGAGCTCGGAAAGGAAGGCTGCAATGAAATTGGTTTTGTTGATCCCCATATAGTATTCGAAGACCCAATTACTCCAAAGACTAATTGGAAGTCTGAGTCAGAGAGTAACCTCATGAACTTCTTAGTGAACCAACGCCACAAGAAGGATATACTCTTTCCCTATAACTTCAAGTGAGTGTTAATCATGTCGATCATATCCTTAATGGCTCATATGTTGATTCTAGTTAATTAATGAGTGTTATGCGTTATATCCTATAAACACATGCAACAATCACTGGATATTGATGGACATCGATCTGGTGAAAAGTCACTTGATAATCTATGACTCGATGAGAAAACCACAACAAGACTACCAAGATATGATAGATATTATCCAGAGGTAATTTCGGGATCTCTAGCAACTATATATACACACAAACATGATGATTAACTATATCTAATGACGTGGCAAATTTTTTATTGGGCAGTGTTTGGAAAACCTTTATTGAGAAGCAACACATGGAAAAATGCAAAGCGCCACTTGAATGTAATCCCTTTGAAAGTAAGTCCCCTCAGATCGCATCATCTTTATTAATTAAATATATAGCTTTCAATTGGATCACCAGTTGGATGACAAATCTTTTTCTCGTAAAGTGGTGTCTAAAGACAGAACAGGGAACAACTCATGTGGTTACTATGTTTGCAAGTTTATCAAGGTGCTCTCCCAAAGAACTCCTACTGAGAGAGACTCAAAATACGTTAAAAATACATTATATATTCATTTAATTATTATTATTGATTGTGTTACTATGTCTTTATATATATATATATATGTACATATATTAATTTATTTTCCTTTAATTCAAACACATAGACTCGATGGTTGGAGGAAAAGGTCATACTGGCAAGACCAAATCAAAGCAATTCAAGAGTCTATAGCGGATTTTTTTTTAATGAGCAGGTCATCGATTCCAAGGGCGAGTTCTACTTCGACCCAACACTGCCATTGAAGCCAAGCTAGAGGATGAGAGGAAACTTGTTATGTCACAACAACTGTAATGCAATCTTTTGTAATATATGCACATGAAATAATATAATGTAAAATACACGTATGCATGCATGCATGTAAATATATATATGATGCATGCATATATATATATATATATATATATATATATATATATATATATATATATATATATATTCTATGCTTGAATTGTGTGATTTAATACGTTCATTGTGCTTGAACCGAAACATACTATATGCGCGTATAAATGTATAATTAGCAGCGTACAATACGACTTCGAAAACCTATTTTGAAAAGAAAACAAAAAAATGAAAAGAAAAGAAAAAAGAAAAAAACCTTTAGTCCCGGTTCGTATTACCAACCGGGACTAAAGGTGTCGGCCATCGTGGCATGTCAGGAGGCACCTTTAGTCCCGATTGGTGTTACCCACCGGCACTAAAGGTCCTCCTTTAGTCCCGGTTCCTGACCCGGGACTAAAGGACCCCCCTTTAGTCCCGGATGCTTGCTCCCGGGTGGGGAACCGGGACTAGAGGGTGTTCCCCACCGGGAGTAAAGCTCGGTTCTCTACCAGTGATGGCGGGCAGGAAGGTCGGGTCGCAGGTGCCAAGGGATGAAGATGATGGGTCTTTCAACCGCCAGGGGATCGCCGACACAGTGCGGGTTGTGATGGTTGATGAAGATACCACGAGGGTCTTTCTAGCAAACGCCATGAAGTTGCAGGAGGTTGTAGCTGATAAGGAGCTCCACGAGAGGTACATTGATGAATTTGTGCAGCGACTTAGATCTCACGCCCCTAGCTGAGACTTGGTTTTGGAGGTTTTTAAATCCTGCTAGTGGTGGTTGTTGGCTTGTTGCGCATAAACTATGGATGGAGAGATCATTGTATATATCCAATAAGAAATTGCATTGTTGTTAGTGTTGGTTGCATCAAAGAGCTGTACATAACGTGTACACATCAGGAGGAGTTATTGTGCATCACGTGATAGCCTTCATCTTCTCAATCTTAATAATCTTTGTTGGAGAAGTGAAAAAGGAAAACCTCATGTGTCAACATGGCCAGATAAACTCTAATTGCTCCTATAGATTCAGGGGCGGAGTCAGGATCTGATATAGGAGGGCGGCAGGTCCACCATGTTTCAACAAAAAAAAAAAGAATATCAATATCAAACATTGTAAAAAAAAGATTAATCTTGATATATTGGCTTAAAAACTATAAATCAACTTTAATCTTTTTCTTTTCTTTTCTTTCTTCATCTCGGACAAGAGCTAATTGTCTAAATGAAAGACATATTGTTCATAAAACTAATGGTTCACATCATCTTTATTTTATCTGGCTATAAAAAATTATACAACGAGGAGATATAACTTAAGAAAAATATAATAGGGAGATGTATTTTATTTGTAACTAGACTTTTGTTACCTTACTTGAGGAGGCTTTCTACATATGATTTCTAGAATTAGTATAACTAATGAAGAGTATTATTATATCCTATGCAACCTGATTGGGGGACAGGCCCTATCCGGCCCCTCTTGTCTCCGCACCTATATAGATCGTAAAACTTGTCTCAGGGATACCCTACCAAGGTTCAAAATTCTGGCGAAATTTCACCAAAATTTCATGAATTTCGGTGGTGACCGAAAGAAAAATCCAAAATTTTATAATACACTAATACACGTGCTATATAACTCTATGACTCATATTTTCTATTATTTATTTATCATGCACGGACAAGACTTATATGGCACTACCACTACTACACAAATGATTTTGCAAGACGGTACCCTTTCATTAACCGAGGCAGTCACAAAATCCAACCGCCTCGTTTATTCCCTACGGATTAACGCAGGTGGGCATTTTTATTTATCGAGGCGGGCAGAAAGTGCCCGCCTCGAAAAATCGATTTAAGGCAACTGCACACTATAAGGCTCACCTCCGAAAATGCTGGCCCAGTCCTGAGCCCAGGCAAAGCCCAAGAGTTCCAATTCCGAGCATGCGTATATATACAACACACTTAGCATTTCAGTCTCATCTCCCTCCCTTCCTCAGCCGCATGAGCCGTGCGCCCTCTCTCCTCCTCTCACTCTTAGCGCGCGGCACCCTCTCCTCCCTCCCTCCCTCCGGCCCTCTTCTCCCTCCCTCCCTCCCTCCAGCGCTCTCCTCCCTCCCTCTTGCACGCCCTAACCTCCCTCCTTCACAGCACTGTCCTTCCTCCGTAGCGGCGTCCTCTCTCCTCCCTCCGGCGCGGATCATGGCGGAGCGGCCCTCACAGAGCTCGGCGGCGCAGATGCATGCCAAGGCCGGGTGGATCCATGGCGGGGCGGCGCGTATCTAGGTCGGGCCCGGGCGGATCCTCGGTGTGGTGGCCCACCCGTGGCAGCATCACGCGGGGCAGTGCGACCTCCTTCTAGCGGGTACGGGCGGCGGCATACCCCGGCGGCAGATCATCCCTCTCCCTCGAGCTCTGTGGTGGATTTGGACAAGGAGCACCTCCAGTGGCGGCGGATCCTCCCACTTCCTCGAGCTCGGCGACGGATCTGGCCGAGGAGCACCTCCAGCGGCTTCTTCAGGCAGATCTGCGACCGTGGTGGTCAGATCCGCGGGCGAGGTGGTCGCTCCTGGCCGCGTGCAGGGGCAGCAGCGCGGATCCGGCGGCAGAGAGCCCCTCCCGGCGGCGCGAGGCCCATATCCGGGCCCGTTAGGGCTGGGCTTCTGGCTTTTTCTCTTTTTTTTTTTTTATTTGATTAACCGAGGCATGCATTTGGACCGCCTCCGTAAAGTCACGATTAACCGTGAGCTTTGATTGGAGGTGGTTGCAATGTAAAGTCACGATTAACCGTGAGCTTTGATTGGAGGCGGTTGCAATGCCTGTCTCCATTAACCCTTTTTGCCCGCCTCCATTAAGATTTCTGTAGTAGTGTACTCTAATTTCCAATTTAAGAGGCCTGAACCTATCTAAAACCATATGTGGATGGACGACATGTCCTTATTTGTGTACATTCTACATATCTATCGAGATTCATTTGCACTTCTAGATTAGCAGCCTATTCGGCTGGTCGATAAGCCGCTTGGGCTGGTTTGTACGGCTGATTTGTTGTGAGAGAAAAACACTGTACCATGGCTAATAAGCCTCGGCTGTGAAATGAACAAGCGAACAGGTAAGATTCCAAGACGACGAGGTTGAGAGATTATCACAAGATGATGCACAATAACTCCTCTGATGCGTTCACTTGATGTACAGTTCCTAGTTGCAACAAACACTAAATAACACTGCGATACAATGATATTTCCATCTAGTGTATGCGCAACGCAACAACCACCAACAGAGTTTTAAAAACACCAAAACTAAGTCTCAGCTGGTGGTGTAAGATCTAAGTTGCTGCACAAATTCATCAATGTACCTCTCGTGGAGCTCCTTATCAGCTAAAACCTCTTGCAACTTCATGGCGTTTTTGACAAACACTCTCCTAGTATCTTCTTCAACCATAACGGCGCGGACTGCTTTTGCGAAGCCCTTGCGGTTGAAAGACCCATCATCTTCGTCCCTGGGCACCTGCAACCCTACCTTCCTCCCCTCCATGAGCCGCGCGTTCGGACCTTGGTCGCCGGAGATCGGTAGCATGATCAGAGGGTGCCCATACAGAAGCCCTTCAATAAGCGAGCTCCGTCCACAGTGCGTCAAGAACGCGCCGACGGCACCATGTGCCAAGACGGTGTTCTGAGGGACCCACCCCATGGTCACCAGCCCATGTCCATGGGTCCGCTCTTGGAATCCCGGAGGCAGGACGTCCATGTCGTCGGGAACGCCCCTGGGTGGCCGCATAGCCCAGACGAATCGCGCTCCGGCCATCTCCAGCCCATGAGCCATTTCATGCACCTGCTCCACGCGCAGCGGCACCTCGCTGCCGAGCGCGACGTACACGACCGACTTGGGTGGCTGCGCGTCTAGCCAGCGCACGGTGGCGTCGTCCCTGTTCATGCCAGCGCCACGCCCTCCGTCCGGCGACGGCGGCAGGAGGCCGAGCGGCTTGCCGAGGAGCGCGGCGGCATGTGAGAAGACCACGGGCTCCCACTCGGGGCAGCTCCGGATGGCAGTGATCGTGCAGCTCTCGAGCGCCAAGGTGATGCGTCGGACGACAGACATACCTTTCATCTCATGGGGGGTGAACAACCCCGTCACGTTCCTTTTCCACTCGTACCGCGGCATGCCCGCCGGTGGCTCTTCTACAGCTACAGAGGCCGGCTGCTCAAATATGGAGGCAGCGGCGAGCTCTGTGCAGTCCCTTGCGCCGCATGCAAAGGCAGATATCACGGCTGCGGATGAAACAAGCATCGCGCACGGCACCTTGTGCTGCAGGGCGACGGTGGCAGCCCAGTGGGTTAACGTGTCGGCGACGATCCAGTCCTGCCTGGGCCGGTTGCCCTCGTCGGCGCTCAGGAACTCCGCGAAGGGCGCGGCGAGGCCATCGAAGGCCTCGAAGAGCGGCTCGAGCCGGTCGCCGGGGACGTCGTTGGTGGACTCAGCGCCCTCGGGGAGGCCCTCCACGCGCGGGAGCGGCAGCGTCACGAGGTCGATGGTGTCGGCGTGGCGCCGCGCCGGGAGGCGCGCGAGGTTTTTGGGCGTGGAGAGGAAGGACACGCGGTGGCCCCGTGACGCCAGGCGCTCGGCGAGCTCCAGGTACGGGAGGATGTGGCCGAAGGCGAGCCATGGGCAGATCACGACATGCAGCGGCGGTGAGGATGGGGACCTGGCGTCGTCCATGGCGAGGACGGGAAGGTGTAGGTGTGCGTGTGTGACCGTCGATGATCAGCTGGAGCTACACACAGTGTGGTTTGTGCAGCTGCAGTTAGCCCAGCGCCCTGCTTTATTTGTCCGCCTCCCTCTCACTCTGCGTTGTAGTAAATGTGGATTCTTCGTGTAAATTTTACTCTTCCACATGCGGGTCATGTGCACGACTAAACAAAGCCATTGATACCCCAAGCCATTTGCATGAAACCAAGAGCAACCAAAGTCCATGGCGACAACCTGTCGGTTCTGACTCTGACGTGCGGCCGGCCGGTCTGAGGAAAGAAGGAATTGTTTTTTCTTTTACAAGAAACTATGCCTCTATTGTTGTAGCCCATATTAAATTCTGATGTCAAGAATCTAAAATAAATTACTAATATTAAATTGCGTATTTTTCACTTTGTTCATTTTCCAACACAATAGGCTCAATAGATACAATGTTGTCTCTATCTTGTTGCAGTCAATGTGTCAGTTACTAATCTATATGTTTTCCATTTACATCCCACTACTGTAGAAAACTTAATCAAGACGGGCAAAATCAAGTAACCGGGGCGGGCAAGCCAAGCGCCTCCATCAAAAGGTCACGGTTAATCGGGCCTTAACGGAGTGCCTCGATTAATTGATTAACCGAGACGGGCAAGTTAAGGTGACGGCCTCCGTTAATCACATTAACCGAGGCGAGCGTCTTAAAATGCCCGCCTCGCTTAATGTTCAGCAGAAAACCCAAAAAACCAATAAAACTTGCGACTTTGTAGAATCGAACCCACGACCTAGCGCTAATATTAATATTTTATAATCTTATATTGGATATTTTAGCTATTAAATGAACTCAAATGAAAAAACTTTTAACTACATAGTTTTAAATCTTGTGAAGTACTTGTATCTCCATCAAAGACAGTTTGAAAAATTCAAAAAATTGAGTCTCAGAACATGTAAATTTAAGACACATATTTGAGACTCTAGGTGACTTTAAATAAAAATCTTGTCAATATCAAACATGTAGATCAGGGCGGCCACTAGAACTTTAGTATTAATTATGTGAACATTTGAGATCGTTTAGGAATTCAAAATTTTAAATTTCAAAATCTATAACCTTCGAACCCATATTTAGGACTCTAAATGTCGGGTTCATAAACCTGGGGTCCCTCGCGGACCGGCTTCCCAACAAAGGTTCGGCACAGCAGGCAACGTTGCAAACAACACGCAACTCGTGGGCCAGCCCAAGTGCGTGAACAACAGGCCGGAAGGGCGATCCAATCACCGACCGAAAGGCCTGGCCGAGGAGGAACGACGTCCGTTTCCGACACTGGCCCACCTCTCCGACCGGAGCACTCGCTTCGATCTCCAGCCCGCCTCCAGACGACCTATCCGACCAGAAGGCCTGGCCAAAGCACTACTTCCGACTTCGACCCGCATTTCCGACCGGGGATGCGCCAAAATCTTGCTCACCGCTCTTCTCCAACAGGCGCGATCAGAGCTGACTGGGACTAACCGACTGGGGACACCCGCTCGGTAAGGACCAGGGAACGGATGAAGAAAGTAGGCAGGGCGCACAAGTCAAACCGCAATACCGGGGTTCATACCCTGTACACCTGCAGAAACAGTACTCTGCAACCTCCCTGGCACAACAGAGCCCAAGCAGTGTTGTAGGCGCCGACATTTTCCCCTATAGTATTGTGGGCGCCATTAACTCCCATACGGTAAGGCCCCCCACGCCGGCCTTTACCATACCGGGAGAATATGGTAAAACCCCTTACGAACCTCCAGGTATCAACAGTGTGGCAGGCGCCGACGTCTGCCATACCTGAAGAAAACAACACAACCTCCCATGTGCATCTGACATCCAACAATGTTCGGGTCGCCTACCATCATCCTGTACCCGCTAACGGGGGCAACAAGGCTTAGAAGCATACGTACTCTCTCCCTCTCACTTGTAAGGCCATCCCCTTCATCTATAAAAGGGGATACGGTCTCTCCCAAAAAACTCAGTTCATTAAGCTCAGTCAGATTCATTAGATCGATCAAGTTTACTAGTTTATAACCACAGAACCGCCAGGTTCGAACCAGAAGCACATGCTTGAACACTTAGCTCATAGCGGGGCTCCCGTCACTCTCGGCCCTTCAAACCGGAGTCTGACTGGACCTCTTGTACCCCTATCTTTCTCCTTCTCGTTTGTAACCCCACTGCAAACTTCGAGCACCTGGGCTCAGGAATAAAGTCACCGACCGACTCAAACTGGACGTAGGGCACGTTGCCTGAATCAGTATAAACCCTATGTCATTGAGTGCTAGGCCACCTCTGATCACAACGTACAGCAAAACTACAAATATTTTTTATTGATCACTTTCTGCACCGACAGTTGGCGTCATCCGTGGCGAAGACGCTGTATGTTCAACACTTTTTGGTCATCGGATGGCCCACTTTTCCGCCACCTTCACCATGGGGGGCTCAAGTGATACGAATCGCTTTGGCTCACTGGAGTTTCCCGCACTACCACCTATTGGGATGTGGGTTCCACCTGCCTTCGAGCCATCCTAGGCCTTCCTCTTCGGAAGCCTGGACTTCGTCGCCGACCGGCTCGGCATACTACACCTCCGCGAGGAGGCACTCATTCCGGCGCCCGTCGGAGGGGCACCCTCCATCGGCTCCAAGACGCACGATGACTTCAACGACGAGGTATCTGCGCTTCATTCTGAGCAAACTCTCTGCTCAAACTCCGCTGTAAATAATATGCATACTATTATTTACTCTCTATTTACTATCTCTCGCCGATTATCTGGAGGGACCGTATTGACCGCACCACAAATACCGTACGACCGGTTCTCCTACGGCCTCGCGTCCCCTGCGGACACGTGCACTCGGGGGCTTCGAAGGACGCTGCCGCCATGCCCTCTTACATCTGAATTCATGTGGATGGCGAGCTATGCTCCTACCACTTTCCACGAACTCCCGGATAACGAGGGTGAGGGTGACGGCTCCAACATCGACGACGTAGCACCTAGCCACCGTCCGTCCCGAGAGTGTGCTATGGCGAACGCTCCGTTACAGCCGCCGGTCTATGCGGACTCTGTGTAGACTCACACCCCTCTGGACCCACGTGTGGGGCCCTCACGTTTGCGCAAGTACACGCCAAGGAACTACAACAACGGTGGCAAAACCAGCCGCCGCCTGTGCGGCGCACTCGGTACAGCACGTTGTTCCCCATGCGCATGACCCCGCGGGCGGCGCCTGGGGTCGCGTCAGCCAGGTCCAACATGACATCATGAACGAGGGGAACGATTTCCCACAGTTCACTCGGGCTTGTCAGAACATCGCTGCTACGGCAATGCTTGTGTGCGGCGTTCTCGAGCCCGTCGACCCCCAGGAGCTGGCGGTCTATCGGAACCTCCGGGTGCTAGTAGAAGCCACCGCCGTTCAACAGGTGGAAAGCTCTACATCGCGACTCCGACACGTGCCCTGTATCCCCACTGGGGGAGTGGGGACGCGCCAGACGGATCGCTCCGTCCGCTCGCCGCTACAGCCACCAAGTGCGGCTCGGGAGGCATCGGCCGCACCATGGTCTGACCTGGCGCCTGCTCCACACCATTGAGGGGAGCGGTCATAGCGCCATCAGCAACCAGCATCAGGCCTGGCATGATGATGATGACCACCGGGCGATGATGAGGGCAGGTGACGCGGGTCCCGTCCAAACCATTGAGGGGAGCGGTGAAACACGCACCAGGCATGGTCGCCGGGCAAACAACCGGAGTCCCAGCCCTGAGGGCCTGGGACCACGGGCCTTTGACCTGTGTATCCGGAGAGTGCCGTTCCCACAGCACTTCCGACCACCCACCAACATCACCAAGTACACTGGGGAGACAAAACTCGGTATTTGGCTCGAAGATTTCTGGCTCGTCTGCTGAGCTGGAGGGGTGGATGATGACTATTTCATCATTTAGTATCTCCCCATCTGCGTGGGGGAACATGTTCGAGCATTGCTTGAATTCCTCCCGCACGACAGCATTCGCGACTGGGCGGACCTCAAGAGGGTCTTCGTCGGAAATTTCTAGGGGACGTATGTTCGCCCTAGAAACTCCTAGGACCTCAAGAGTTGCCAGCAGGAGCTTAGCGAGTCCCTGCAGGATTACATCCGTAGGTTCTCCCAACGATGCAACTCCCTCCCTGATGTCGTCGACGCTGACGTCATCAGCGCATTCCTCTCTGGGACGACCTGCGAGTCCCTGATCCACAAGCTTGGATGCCTGAAGCCCCGTACCACCCACGACCTGCTCGACGTCGCCACTAACCATGCCTCTAGCGATGAGGCAGTTGGAGCGGTCTTCATTGGAGGCTGGGACAAAGGCAAGGCCAAGCGTGCGGACCAAGACGAGGGCCCCTCCACACAGAGGGGCAAGAAGAACAAAAATGACCGACACCGACCGGACAACACCGCGTTGGTCACTGCAACTGACCGCACGAGCAAGTAGCCCCAACAGGGCCTGCCTGACCACTTCAACAAACTCATGGATAGCCCGTGCATGAACCATGCCTACCCCGTCAAACACCTCTACATGGACTGCGAGCTCCTCAAACATTTCCTCCGATAGACCGGCGGGCCAAAAGAAGGAGACGGCAAAGAAGCAGTAGCCAAGAAAGGAAGTGCGAAGGGAAAGGACGGAGACGGTTTCCCTGACCCTGAGGAATGCATCATGATCTGTACAAGGTGCGCTATAGGGAGGCATGTGCCACCAAGACGGCCGTCCCCTTCTTCCTCAGCTGGTCGGAATCTTCGATCACCTTCGATCAGAGGGGCCATCCCTCCCACATCATGAGACCGGGATGCTACCCGCTCGTCGTCGACCCCATCGTCCATAAGAAGCGCCTCACCAAGGTGCTGATGGACAGAGGCAGTGGCCTCAACATCCTCTACGTCGACACCCTCGACATCATGCGCATCCCCCGGTCGGAACTCCGCCTTGCGGTTTCTCCCTTCCAT